GAAATAGTTTTATATACAGAAGCAATTGAATATTGAGAAAACATCCTAGCCCACTCCTGATCAAGTCCATCAGACCAATATTAGCCCATATCTCCGACACCAATCTATAAATTCTTCTTCAGACTCATGCAGAACATGCAATGAGGCCGAATGCCGCAAAATCACAGGCCAGTGGGTGGAAAGTCTTGTGGATCCAGTGATGGTGAAAGCATATCAGCATTGGCAGGGGTCTCCACGTTGTTCCTCCAGCTCCAGGGCTCTGGCTGCATCAGCATAGCTCCATGTGGCTTGTCAGCAGGAAGACGAAGCAGAGAATATCTCCCGCCTCCAGGGAGGAAGACAGGAGTTCCCAGAATCCTCAGGAGAAGGCCCTGCCCACACAGAGGCCTCATTGGCTATGGCCTGATTGACAGGCTAGACTCCAGTGGCCCCTTTGCAAGTTGACAGGAGATGATGTAACTGCCATACCTGGGAAATGCACATAGACAGGAGTTGCGGGTTCCTTAGCGGTAGCTTATGGCTGGAGAGACGAAAAACATGCACTAAAGGAGAATGAGAAAGAAGGAAAAGCCCACGATGTCAGAGTGACCGACCAAGTGCTGGGGAAAGCAAGGTCAGGTGTGTTTTAGGAAGGAAAGGTCAGCCCGGTAAAGGGAGAGGCTCAGGAGAGCGCCTGCCCCCGGAGAAACGCAGGTCAAGCCCGCAGGACGGAGCCCTGGGTGAGGTGAACCCCAGGCGTCTCCGTTTGAATGGCATCAGGACTGCCGTGGTGCTTCCAGGCAGCCTAAACCAAAGCTGAGTCACACAGCACTTGAGAGATCTGGGGGCCCAGTGGCAGCATAGACAGCATGGAGCCTCCGTCCCTTCTCCCCCGTGGTGGGGCATGCTCGGCCCAGACCAGCTCTGAGGAGGTTGCTGACTGAGCAGTCATTCTTGGTGTCCCAGCCCAAGGAGCAGGCTGGTCACTGATGTTGGCAAAGTGGCTTCTTGTGCACTAGAGGCAGGGCTGA